GTGTGTGTGTGTGTGTGTGTGTGTGTGTGTGTGTGTGTGTGTGTGTGTGTGTGTAACTAGTGGGGGGCATATGGGGTCCTCTAGCTTTTTGGCTGGTTGAACAGAGCTGCCAGTAGCAAATAAAAGCTGGGGAAGGTATGAAGCCAGCTTTGGGTTGGATTTAGTCCCAGGAAACCCTAGATAAATGTGTGGTCCCGTACTCGAGATAAGTGGGTGTCAAAGGGGAGCCTGGCCATGTCCACGTGAGCCTTGAAGGGCCCAGAGTGCAATCAACAGTTCAAGAACATGCTAATAACTGGGGATGAGTGGCCCAGGGACATTGGGTGACCGAGTTGGCCATGAGTCACCTAGAACCTGCAGAGCCCTGGGGAAAAGGGTGGAGCCAAGAGGGAGTGGATATGGAGAAGCCGGTCTTCCTGGAAGCCCAGTTAAGCCATCATGGTTTTCATTTGGGCAGGGAATGAAAAATGCAAGGGCAGCTACTAGGCAGGCCTGAGAAACGGCAGATCCAAATGTAGTCAGGATGGGTATACAATGGAGAGAGGCAGCCACAAAACTGGAGATGAAAATGAAACTAGGCCTTGAGAGGGTCCAGCATGGCTGGCTGGGAGGCTGACTCGCTTCCTTAGAGACAGGAAGTAATCCCCAGAGGTTTGAGGAAATGAGAAGGCATGACCTTGTAGTAAAAGAGGCGACCACAAGGACAGATGATGGACGGATCGGGAAGCCCACAGCACTGTCTATGAGGCTGAGGAAGAATTGACCAGCCAGGCAGCAGAGACCCATAGCTTCTAAGTGACTTCTTGTGTTCAGGGCCACCTGACCCTCTTGCCAGCCTCAAGGCTGTCACAGGGCCTCCTGAGAGCAATCGTTTGTACAAGGTAAGTGAGAGACTGAGGGAAGGGTGGTGCCCATGCTTTGATCAAGCTAGGACAGCAAAAGGCCCAGGTAGGGGGCAGCAAGTACGTTTACCAGAGTGGTGATGGGACCATGGCTGTGAGGGGAGTGAGGACCCACCTTCTAGGCAATGGTACAGACTGCAGGGCAACTCTGGGTGCTTACATTCTCTCTGTGAGCCTGGCACAGAGTGATGGAGTTGGTAGAAAGGAGCTTCACGTTGCACCTGCCTGGACTGCATCTGGAGAAGGAAGAAGGGACGCCTTCCCCCAAGGCAGGTCCAAAGGGACTAACTGTCCTCTTTCTTTACTCTAAGAAAATGTCCCCAAAGGATAGGGTGTTTAATGTCCCTGTTTGTACTCAATGTGGTGGTGACAGTACCAGGATCCAATTCAAGGGACGGGATGTCACTGGAAGGGAAAAAAACTGTCATTCTTGGGATTTTTTACTATGAGACAAAAGTCCTTTACTCGGTAGAAATGGGGGTGGGAGGGCTGTGTTTGAGTGAGTGTGTTGGTGTCCAACCATGTATGAGCGAGCCCATGGGTGCCAGTTTGAACACAAGGCATGTCAGGGTACTGGTGGTCACCCTTCAGAGTGTCCCCCTCTGATGGAGGATCCTTAGGTGGTGACTTACCTGCCCCTTGACTGTCTCCTTTGAAGCTGTCTTTTTTTTTTTCTATATCCTGCTGGACTCTGTGTAACTGCTGGTACCCTTTTGTCACTCCCCAGGCTCAGGGCACTAGCTGCGTCCCTCCATAAGAGACAACTGTGATTCGTCCTCTTACACCTCTGTGTCCACTCCTGAGGCCTGGGTCTGAGGCCCAGGTCTCATGGTCATGACATAGGCCTGGGCCACTTTTCTACATTGATCACTTGTGTTTTCCACTGACCTCTGAGTCCTTTGTGGTGACTGTGGGGAAACTGTACAGTCTGCCTTGCAGATTCAACATCTTGGTGTCCACCCCTGGCCTGCCCTGAGAAAGCTCCCCGCTCAGAAAGCTCCCAGGACCTCTATGTGACTTGGCCTTCTGTTCACAGCTTTGAGGGAGGTGAGGCTATTCGGCTAGTCAGGGTTGTCTTCTGCCCCTGCGCCTGACCAGCATCACTCAGTTCAGCTTTCCTGGACCAGAAGTGACCATTTTCAAAGGAAACAGTATTTCTATCAACCGCATCACATGACATTTCCCAGCCAGGACTGTTAGTTACTTTTCTACCAAAAAGCAACCTCTTGTGGTTCCAGGGGGATGAGTTCATCTTGGCGGGGAGGCATGATAGCAAACGTCAGACATAGTGGAAGGTGCAGGAAGCTGAGAACTCACATATTGAACCACAAGCTCAAAAGCAGAAAGTGAACTGGATGTAGCGTGAGCCTTTTAATCCCAGCATCCTCCAGAGGTGCACCGCCTTAAACTCCCTAAACAGGGCCACCACCTGGGGACCACGTGTTCAAATACTGGAGTCTATGGGAGACAGTGCTCATTCAAACCATCACACCTTTGGTGGCTTTCAAACGTTCTCGGAGAAAGACCCATCCAGCCCTGGTCCCCACTCACTTTGCCTTCTGCTCTCGGCTAGGCCTCCAGGACCCAGCATTGTTCGGTACCAGGCTGAGGTGCCTTTGAGCAGGGCTCTACCCCATTTCCTATGGCCCATCACATCCCAGGCTGTTGCGTGGGAGCCCGGGGAAGGTTCTGCCCACAGTTTTCTAAAGCCAGGAGGCTGCTTTGCCGCTCAGCACTAATGCCCCCTACAGCCCGTGAGCCCGCCTTCCTTGAGGGAGTAAGGGAGGAGGGATGGCAGAGGTGTCGGTTCATTTCTGTTGGAAGGATATGTTAGACACACAGGAGAGCAGGCACAAGTAGTAAAGAGCTTTTGCGCCTAGAGCAGATGAAGCCCCCTTTTCGCTTGGGGTCCTCCGAGCAGCTCTGGGCTGCACCAGCATGTACAGGATGAACCTGCTGTCAGCTGCCACAGCTGGAGGACATTTCCTGACCTCACCTTACCTTCCGCATTGGCTGCACAGGCTGCTGCCTCTCTTTAGGCACCCCAGCCTTAAAGTCTCAGGGGATACTTGGCATTGTGCAGTTAGAAAAGCACCCTCCCCTCCCACTCTTGAACCTCCGTTTCCTCTGCCACGGTTTCCCCAGTGTCCGTAAATGACACCAAGTCTTTGGCATAGAGAGCTTGTAAGCAGTAAACTTCGGGAGTCTTAGGGTGGGTGGGAAGCAGGAAGCCTTTCTTGGAGCTCTGCCCACTGGTCACTGGAGCCAGGACTGGCCTCTTAGGCTTGTTCTGTATCATTCCATTATGTATATTCCTTTAAAAAAATCAAGTCTTGTTAATGGAGTTTTAACCGCAGATGATAGATGTAAATACTAGGGCTGAATAGAATTCAGGTTGTGTACAGGTCGCTCCTGTCATCAGGAGGTAGGTGCAGAGCCTGCTCATTCGTTACATGGGGCCTTTGAGCTGGGGGTGCAGAGCCTGGGCTAGTGAGCATGAAGTCTCACTTTACCAAAGAGTGTGGCCTGAGGACCTCACACTTGCTTCAGAGGCCCCATTTCCAGCAGTTTTCTAGATGGAGTGTTGAGCCATAACAAACCCAGGTCATGTTATGAGAAAGAGCGCAAGTGTTTGGGGATGACAGTGATGCTGAGGCAGTGTCTGTTGGCTTCTGGTAGAGAAACTGCAAAATCCACACACTGAAGTCAGCTCTTTGCTGTTGCTATTTCTCGTCCATCCATCTTGGATTAGGGTTTGCTCCAAGCCAATGAAACACCCGGCCACAGGTGCTTAAGCCCCGTCTACCTCATCCCACTAAGAGCAAACCTTGCAGTTCAACAACGTGCCCAATTTCACATGTATTATCCACACACCAAAGGCCTGGTAGCCCACAAGGCCTGGGTTTATGAGGTCTGTTTTAGCCAGTGGAGACTGTGGCTATGTACAGGCAGGGGGCAGGCCTCTACACCACCATGGCAAGGCCTCGAGAGCTGACAGTGCCACAGGCTCACAGTTGCCTGTGCCAAGCCTCCCACGGCTGCTTCTCGAACAGGACAGACAGAGGCTGTTTTCTTCCCATGTCCTGGAAGTGGCAGAGCACAGTCCCAGGCTGGCCTCTTTGGCTGCACTGAATGGCCATCCAGGTGCTAGGACACATTTCACAGACCCCATTGTGCCCTAGGAAGAGTGTCTCTGCATGCCCACTGGGCACAGAGTCTGGGCAGTGTGCCGCTTCTGCTCCCTGGCCAAGGCAATGAATTGGGCCTCTCTTCACTGGAATGGCCTGGAAGAAAGAGGATTCCCTCCTCCCGTAAGATTAGCCTCGAAGCCATGCTCCCCTTGTTCAGAGGAAATTATTTCTTCTCTCCCTCCAGGAAGAAGCACACAGCCAAGTTGACCCGGTCGCACAGTGGGACTGTGTGAGACAGCAGCTGCTGTCCCTGCTGGAACAGGAGGAGGAGACATGAGACCGTAGTACCTCACCCACCAAGAGGTTCACCATGGCGGCCCAGCGCATCCGGGCGGCCAACTCCAATGTCCTCCCTCGGTGCAAATCAGAGGGAACCCTGATTGACCTGAGTGAGGGCTTCTCGGAGACAAGCTTTAATGATGTCAAAGGTGAGCTCCTGGCACCCCGGGCTGGGGGACACTGGGATATCGCTGGCTCCCTGACCCTGGAGCATCTCGGGTTTACAGGTTTATAGGCAGCCAGTTTTCTATTCAGCCCTCTAACCCTCTTGCTGTTTGTCCCTCCCCATAACAAAGCCGCCCTATCTGGAAGGCTGTGTGCACACATGCACTCACCAATTCCTGTGGGCAGGGATGCACACAGGTCGGGGTACACATGGATGCAAGTTTACTTGGAGGCTAGAAGTCACTGAGACGCCACTCACCTTGTTTTTTGAGCCAGGGTATCTTCATGAACCTGAAACTTACCTAGTACACCAGGGTCAGAGAATGGGGATGTTGGGCAAACCTTTCTCTCAGCTACATACCTGGATCCCACCCAGGATGCCATTCGATTCCTGAAAGTCTACTTTGACCTTGCTGGACCACATCTCGTGGCTTGTGTCTTGGGATGCATTGGTAGAAACGTGGTCACCTGTGTCACTGCAGTCAGCCTTTTTGCAGCAATGGCAGTTCAGGGCGATCTCTCTCTCTCTCTCTCTCTCTCCCTCTCTCTCTCTTTCTCTCGCACACCTCCCCTGTCCTCTTTGGATAGGGTCAGGCAACACTGACAGTTCACTCTGAAGTCACTCCTGGTCGTCCTTCTCACACCGAACACTCAGAACTTTGTTTCCATTCTTTCTCCCTTGGCAAACTCAGAGCTAAGTGATCCTGGATTGAACCCACAGCCCCCGTGTCTTCAGCCTTTGCACCATTTACCTGCTCCCCTGCCCTGGCTTAAGCGTACAGTCCTGAGCAGCACTGCTCCAAGTGTTCTTTGAAAGAAAGAGAACGATCTGGAAGGTGTTATAGCAACAGAGTTAGTGGGTGTTGCTATAAATAACAGAACATTTGTGGGTTTTTTGTTTTTGGTGTTTTTTTTTTTTGCAGTCGGGTAATGGGCAACATGTTCTCACTTCAAGCTTTGGGGGTGGGAGAGCCTAGAAAAGGTGAGCAGAACATTTGTGGTTTGTGCTCAAAACACAGACAAGAGAGCCAAGTGTTTAAAAATAACAGTAATGACCCAAAAGCAAACAGCTTTGACCAAGAGTGCAGGGCCAGTGCGCTGCAGGGAGGGCATCTGGGAATCCGAGGTCACTGAGGACTGATGATCCCTGGGCCTCGATGCTGGCCTATCCCAGCTGGCAGCATCACAGTCATTTTCCTGGTGTGTGCATCAAAAGTCAAAGGTCAGGTCTTGCCACAGCACCCACTTTGGAGTCTTCCACCCCAGTTCATGTTTTGTCTGCATAAGAACTTAGGCCAGAGGATAGAAAATGCATTACTCAGAATCCTGAAGTTGAAGTCCTTTTATATAGATGGATATGTATAACCAAGGTGACCGTCAGTCAGTCTGGCGAGGATTCCCCATATCTCATCAAGGTGGGACTTGATGAAGGTTGGGCACAGTGGACTCTGTTCCCCCGTCCTCTTGCTCCCCGGCGTGTTTGTTGATGGTTGATGGAGATGATGTGGACTTGTCCTCCAGGAGAGTTTGAGGGCATAGTCCGCCAGGGTGGTTTTCCCAAGGGGTGGGAAACTGTTGCCCCTTGGAGGAGCTGGATTTCTGAGGGAAATATATTTTCGTGTCTCCTAGGAGGAGAATGCTCAGAATTTTAAGTAAAACCATTCTGACTCTTCAGTCTAGAAAACCTAAAGCGATAATTTGTATTGATGTATTTCAGACCATGTACAAAGCATACTGTAGTGCTCTGGCTTTCGTTTTTAATTTTGAAAATACTGCTGTAAGGGAATTGATTATCTGAAGGGGAGCACAACAGCAAATGACTTTGGAAGGAGCCTGACAAGGTTTTAGTGGCTGGGGCTTGCTATTTAATCTTCACTTGTGTTTTGGGAAGGTTTTGTTTGTTCCTTTGTTTGTTTGTTGTCTTTTATTTCTACTACATGCATCAGGGAAGAAAATGAGCATTCTATTATCAGAGGGGACGACTGGCCACAGATGTGGGAGAGAAGAGCTTCTGTGACCTCTGACCCTGCCCAACTCACTTTCCTTTCCCTGCCTTTCCTCCAGAGTCTCTTGGGGTTCAGAATAAAGGCCTCAGAAGCACAGTGTGACCTGCCCTCCTGTCTCTGCCCCTTCTTGGCATATCAAGGAAAGAATTCCTCCCAGGTGGTTAGGGAAAGCCCTGCGCAAGCTCGAAAGCCTACAGTCCCACCTAACTTTCCCAAGTTTCTGATCGTAGTTAGATGTGAGGAAATTAAGACACTTACTCCAGAGGATCCTGGCCCCACACACCAGGGAGAACCAACATGGCCAGGAGATGCGAATAGGAGCAGACTGGCCTTGCTGGGGCTTAGCCCTCTCGCTTGCCCGAGGCCTTCTCATCCAGTCTCTGCCTGGCCACGTGGGGTTATGCAGCTGTGTGTCCCTGGCACTGGGGCTCTTCAGCATGAAGAGCCCTCCTCCTGTCCCCTGCCCCTTACCTGTTGCCTGCGGCACGCACACAGGTAGCACACCTCCAAAGAGGAAGCTGGTCTTCGTTCATCCCCATCCTTTCAGTGGCGGTATTTGTGTGGTAGTTAAATAGGTTCAGCTTGACAGAACTGAAAGTCTACTAGGAGACAAATTTAGCCAGTGAGGGAATTCTCAAACTGGGTTCATTGAGGTGGGAAGACCAAGCCTAAATGTGGCTAGCCCCATCCCCTGGACTGGATAAAAAGAGGTGAAGCCAGCTAAGCACCAGCATGCATCTCTCTGTGCTTTCTGATGGCAGACCAGCTAACCATGCATTCTGTGTCAGGATGCCCTCAAACTGTAAGACCAAACAAACTTCTTCCTTCTTTAGTTGCCTTTGTTGGGTATTTTGTTGAGATAGGAAGAAGAGACTACTCCCATTTGTCACTCTTGGGACTTGGTGGCAGAAGGACCCAGGAGAGGAATTCTGACTTACTTGTCACCCAGCTTCAATTGTTCTGGTCCTAACGTGTGACTGTCAGCTCATGAATATCCCGTGCCCACCTACTGTGTGCCAGGATCCTGTGGAGCTTACATCCCTCAGAGAAATGAAGGCTCCCACCCTTCCAGACTCTGCCTCTTTAGCAGCGACAGGTTAACAAGCATCATGCGTTCAGACTGACTACATGCGCGCTAGCATGATATGGGAGCTTTTCAAAGGGAGTGAAGACCCCCAGATTCGAGGCTGGACTTGATGCAGGAGGACTGGCTGGGAAAGGTGACAGGACAGGAAGCTGTGAGCTAAGTGTGCTGAAGCCAGCTGCGTGAGTCCCACATCTGGGGACATACTTGCCTCTGGACCAGGAGGGTGCCTCTTGGGACGCCGCACCTGATGCTCCGTATCTTCCGATGGCAGAAAGGACCCCAGGTGCTGCTTTTGAGATGCTGGTTCCGTTCAGGTCTGCAGTATGGCGATGGTTGTGAAGGAACCCCCAGCCGGGCACCCCCTGTGCTGATTAACCTGAGGATGCAGGGAGAGGTTTCCTCCTGCTACAAGTCTAGGCCCAGGAAGATTGCCTCCTCTCCCGTGCCGTGCCCAGTTTCCATTGCTAAACTCATCCACTTGGACAGACTTCATCACTCCTCATTGACTTCTGCTTTCATAGGAGAGTTGTTTGTGAGCCATTGTCCCCAGCCACGGCATGTTCTGCTGGTTCCCCTATGAGTAATGCTCTGTCTTCCTCAGATGTCTCTGCCTCCCCGTTTCTCTCTCCCCCTTAGGAAGGAATGAATTTCTCGACTCCCCTTTTTGTACACTAATGAATTTTTATATCTTTTCTTCAGTTTAATCTTGGCCTGTTTATTCCACTGAATTTGGAGGGTAAAGGAGACATTTCCCCTTGCCCTGTATTAAGTGTTGTAGAGAAAAATGAAATTAAAAGGGAGTGAATGGATTTCAGGTGGATTATGTATGACTCCAACTTCAGGCTGAACACCATCAGGCCTCAGCCAGTCTACTGAGAAAGATGCCTTTTCTCCATCAGGAAAAGTTAAGGGTTACATGGCTCCAAAAGGCGATTCAGCCTAGGTCTGGTGAGCCTGCAGCACCGGTGCACTGAGACAGGGCTTTGCATTCTTTTAAATTAGTGGGAGGTTCCAAGGCCCAGGTAAGCCAGATGCAGCTCTGCCAGCTGTGAAAGCAAGAGACTCCTTGCCAGCCTCCCAAGCTTAGCCAAGGAGACAGAATTTGACTTACTGAGTTCCCTTTTGAAGAAAAAGGAACCTGGCAGGAAATGGTATTGGGGCAGCCAGTGAGATAGCTGTGGGCCCAATGGCTGGGGACTTCATCCTGTATTGAGCAGCTGTCAAGTTGGTTTAGCTGAGAATTTAGTCCTTTTGCTTGTTTCTATATACAGTAGTATTTGGAAGATATTTTACTTGAGCTAGCAAGATGGTTTAGTGAGAAAGAGTGCTTGTTGCTTAAGCCTAACGACATGAAATCAACTCCCAGATTCCATGGGGGAAGGAGAATCCAGTCCTGAAAGTTACCTTCTGTTTTCCACACCCATGCCCTGAGCATGCATGTGTATACAAACAATTTAATTTTTAAAGGAAAGGATGTTTCTTTCTGTTAGCTGTGGAGACCAGATGTCTATAGACTAACTATGGCCATGGCAGAGAGCCTGCCCTGGGGACACTCCACATCTGCCTCCATCAGAGAGTGCTTTCTCCCCTGAAAATCATATCCCTGAGGCTGGCACACGTGGAAGTTGAGTGCACACGTCCTGCTCGGATAACTTATTTTGCCTGTTCTGCGTGTTGTCTGTGGTCCTCACAGCATGGAGGGATGGGGAGAAGCATGCATTACTCTGGGCTGGTTTTAAGCTGATGGCTTCTTGAGCTGTGTTCAGTTATTGGGTGGTGACACAGTGCGCAGCTAGATCTCTGCTTGTCAAGGAGTGGGGATCCTAGGATTTAAATAAGATTTAAAACAGAAAAGAAAAAAAAAAACCTTCTAAAATCTACTCAGGTTTTGTCACGCCTTTAACCCCAGCACTCCAGAGTCCAAGGCAATCAGATCTCTGAGTTCAAGGCCAGCCTTGTCTACAGAGTTCCAGAACAGCCAGAGATACAAAGAAAAACCCTGTGCAAATCCAGGGAGGGAGAGGATTCAAAATCACTGACACCTGTAGAAGGATTGGGCTTTAAGACTGAGCTGTTTCTGGTTGTCAAGGACCTGCCCCTCCTCTCCTGTTTTTCATACCAAAAGAGAATAAGAACCCAATGGTCACTGGAATCTGTCAGCACCTTGTTCCCAATCTGTGCACACAGTGTGCCTCAGTGTGGCCTGTACTGTCACCGTGCTATGCCTGGCCTGTACTGTCACTGTGCCTCTGCCTGGCCTGTACTGTCACCGTGCTATGCCTGGCCTGTACTGTCACCGTGCCTCTGCCTGGCCTGTACTGTCACTGTGCTATGCCTGGCCTGTACTGTCACTGTGCTATGCCTGGCCTGTACTGTCACCGTGCCTCTGCCTGGCCTGTACTGTCACCATGCTATGCCTGGCCTGTACTGTCACCGTGCTATGCCTGGCCTGTACTGTCACTATGCTATGCCTGGCCTGTACTGTCACTGTGCCTCTGCCTGGCCTGTACTGTCACCGTGCTATGCCTGGCCTGTACTGTCAC